CTGCCACAAGGGCAGTCCCACTTGTCAGTAGAGTGAGTGAGCAACCGGCCCGAGCCCCGAGCATGCTTCGACACCCAGAAGACGGAGGAGCCGACACTGCATTAGCCATTCAAGGGAGCTCCGACCTTGCAAACGCAAAGGAGTGACCCCATGGAGTTCAAATCCGAGCCAATCTATCTATCCATCCATCCATTCAACAGGTCAGAGGGTCATCGCTATCATCATCGGGCAAATGCAAAATCCAAACATCTGCCGCAAAAATCAGTAACAGGAAAGCAGAAAAAAAAACTCATCTACACCGCGATCTCGATCGATGTTTCAAAACCATGGCAAAACTAAAACTAGCCAGACGAGAGGAGAGAGACAAATCAACCGTGATCTCTCTCAAAAAAAAAAAAAATCAAACATAGGAAGCGAGATCGGAAAACCTCCTGAGTGGAGGGATGCAAGCGGGCATGTCCGCAAACCATAGGCTTACTTTTTGCGGGCTCTGTGGCGTAAAGAACACCGAGAAGCCCCACCACTGCAATAGCCATTTCAGGAGGTCCGACCTTGCAAAAACATATAGGGTCACCCCATGGAGCTCAAATCCAAGCTGATCTATTTATCCATCCATTCATTAGGTGATGGGTTCACCGTAATCGTGATCGGGCTAGCACAAAACCCAGGAAGAGGCAGGAGAGCATGATGGGGACACTGCACGGCTGTGACCATCTGTCAGTAAGTGTATCTCTCTCTGCCTCTAACCAGGCTTCAGTATGAACACAACAGAGAAACCAGCAATGCACTGCACACTTTAGGAACTACAGCTTGTAACAATTACCCCACTTGGACCTCATACAGAACACATATTACAACGAGATGCCCTTATGATATGAGCACCATCAGGCTTAAAGCTGCTGTGTTTCCTCAGCTGAATTATGAAACACAAATACTACCAAAGAAACAAAACAGGTATATCAAGAAACAAAAGGTACTATAATACCATATGAATTTCTGGGCAAACCCATTCCTCATATATGGAATAAAAGGGAGTAAAAAACCAATATCAATCTAAAATAATGGTAGGAATGCAGGAGAACCCCACATCAAACTAACAGAGGCAAACCTGGCAGATGAAACTTCAAATATGTTTATATAAAGAAGAAATCCGAAATGGGTATATATGAGTAAGATAAGTAAAAAGCTTGCCCTCAGGTCTCAAAGAAACAGCATTCATTGATGGCACAAGATGCCTCCAGACAGCCATTTAATGACAATATGCAGTCACTGTTGCAGAAGCTGATAAGTAGTTCAAGCGAACAGGGCCAACACACTCCCTCTGAACACACAGAGAGACAGACAGGCAGACAGAGGCAGTGAGAGAGAGAGAGAGAGAGAGAGCGAGGAGGAAGAGGAGGAGGAGTTGGAGGAGGAGGATGGGAGGAAATCATATGCCATCTTTGCATATTCGGTTTTCATCATTGGGCAGCACATTTTTTTAGAAACTATAAAAGGTAATGCTGCCATTCTTTGTCTAAAAGATGGGCAGTCACTATATCTTCAAGCTAGGAACTTGGTGCAGCAACAACTTCACAAATGGGGGTGCGAAAATGGAGTGCAGTATGATTACATTAAGTTAAAAAATAAAATAAAAAAGAAAGGTGACAAGAGAGGTGAAACCACAAACATATATATTTTTTTTAAAAAGATCACAAAATGCCTGCAATTCACATCTTACAACAGAAAACCAAGTTCCACTTGAGAATGACACCTAGCTCTCCATGATAGAACCAAATGAAGGAGGGCATTGAGGCCTTGGACAGATAAGTTCATCACAAAAAGGGAAAGAAAATCAAACTAACCAATGGTCTACACTGCCAAATGGCCTCAGACTATGCGATAGGCATGATATGCCATGTTTCATCAAAGGCTAATGCAGCAGGCTCCATCCAACATTGGAAGTGGAGCATGCCCCGGGGATGATCGGTAGAAGAACATGACTGCGATTATGCCAGCAGTGACAACTGACAACTAGATGGAAAGGAGGACGGGGAAGAAATGCAAACAATGGGCCAGTCATCAGTTTGGCTACTTCATCTCATCAAATACTTGCATGCCTAAGCACCGAGAATATGGACTGTGGAGATGGCAAAACAGCACAAGTAATTTGAGGAGCTACAAGCCTACAACCTTGCAGCTGCATAGGTTGATCCCACCAAGCTGAGAACCATTTCAGCTCATTAATGCATCAATCCACAAGTCTCATCAACATCGGAGCAAAAGCAAATCAAGCAACAAGACAGTTAATCTTGAAAATGGCCTAAAATAAATTGATACAACCGTAACAGTATCAGTATGTGTAGTACATACAGTTTTTATGGTTATTAATTCATCAAAGCTCAACAAAAACAGTGGATAATAGTTGTTAGCACCAAGAAACAAGACGAGCAACTTTAACAGTAGAATTTGAATTAGAACTATGCAAGTAGTAGCGATAATATACATGAGGCAGGGATGAGTGGTGTTTATTCAAAGAAATATACTCCATCCAGAAAAATCTTTTTTACAACAAGGTAGTAAACCTCAGCACCCTGAATGTTTTAAAATTTGTACACTCAAAAAAAGAGGTCCGCAAGTCAATTCCAATTGACACACAGAAATGTTTGCTTTGCAAGAGATCCTCAAGTCAGATCCAATGGACACACAGAAATGCTTTCTTTGCAAAATAGCCCTCAGATTGACAAGTTTGTTTGATTTCCATCAGAAGCTAATGCAGTGGGCTTCAACGCTGGCACCAGAGCACATTCCAAGGGCTCAAGAAGAAGAAGAAGAAGACGGCTTCCAAGCTAGCTAGCTGTGCTTCCTTGCCAGCACAAGGAGAAAGAGAGATCAATCCAAGTCCAGATGGATTTGCACTTGCAGTGCCAGTAGAGGAGGAGGGAGAAGAGGAGGAAGAGGAGGCGCTAAGTCTGCCACAAGGGCAGTCCCACTTGTCAGTAGAGTGAGTGAGCAACCGGCCCGAGCCCCGAGAGCATGCTTCGACACCCAGAAGACGGAGGAGCCGACACTGCATTAGCCATTCAAGGGAGCTCCGACCTTGCAAACGCAAAGGAGTGACCCCATGGAGTTCAAATCCGAGCCAATCTATCTATCCATCCATCCATTCAACAGGTCAGAGGGTCATCGCTATCATCATCGGGCAAATGCAAAATCCAAACATCTGCCGCAAAAAATCAGTAACAGGAAAGCAGAAAAAAAAACTCATCTACACATGATCTCGATCGATGTTTCAAAACCATGGCAAAACTAAAACTAGCCAGACGCAGAGGGAGAGAGACAAATCAACCGTGATCTCTCTCTCAAAAAAAAAAATCAAACATAGGAAGCGAGATCGGAAAACCTCCTGAGTGGAGGGATGCAAGCGGGCATGTCCGCAAACCATAGGCTTACTTTTTGCGGGCTCTGTGGCGCAAAGAACACCGAGAAGCCCCACCACTGCAATAGCCATTTCAGGAGGTCCGACCTTGCAAAAACATATAGGGTCACCCCATGGAGCTCAAATCCAAGCTGATCTATTTATCCATCCATTCATTAGGTGATGGGTTCACCGTAATCGTGATCGGGCTAGCACAAAACCCAGGAAGAGGCAGGAGAGCAAGATGGGGACACTGCACGGCTGTGACCATCTGTCAGTAAGTGTATCTCTCTCTGCCTCTAACCAGGCTTCAGTATGAACACAACAGAGAAACCAGCAATGCACTGCACACTTTAGGAACTACAGCTTGTAACAATTACCCCACTTGGACCTCATACAGAACACATATTACAACGAGATGCCCTTATGATATGAGCACCATCAGGCTTAAAGCTGCTGTGTTTCCTCAGCTGAATTATGAAACACAAATACTACCAAAGAAACAAAACAGGTATATCAAGAAACAAAAGGTACTATAATACCATATGAATTTCTGGGCAAACCCATTCCTCATATATGGAATAAAAAGGAGTAAAAACCAATATCAATCTAAAATAATGGTAGGAATGCAGGAGAACCCCACATCAAACTAACAGAGGCAAACCTGGCAGATGAAACTTCAAATATGTTTATATAAAGAAGAAATCCGAAATGGGTATATATGAGTAAGATAAGTAAAAAGCTTGCCCTCAGGTCTCAAAGAAACAGCATTCATTGATGGCACAAGATGCCTCCAGACAGCCATTTAATGACAATATGCAGTCACTGTTGCAGAAGCTGATAAGTAGTTCAAGCGAACAGGGCCAACACACTCCCTCTGAACACACAGAGAGACAGACAGGCAGACAGAGGCAGTGAGAGAGAGAGAGAGAGAGAGCGAGGAGGAAGAGGAGGAGGAGTTGGAGGAGGAGGATGGGAGGAAATCATATGCCATCTTTGCATATTCGGTTTTCATCATTGGGCAGCACATTTTTTTAGAAACTATAAAAGGTAATGCTGCCATTCTTTGTCTAAAAGATGGGCAGTCACTATATCTTCAAGCTAGGAACTTGGTGCAGCAACAACTTCACAAATGGGGGTGCGAAAATGGAGTGCAGTATGATTACATTAAGTTAAAAAATAAAATAAAAAAGAAAGGTGACAAGAGAGGTGAAACCACAAACATATATATTTTTTTTAAAAAGATCACAAAATGCCTGCAATTCACATCTTACAACAGAAAACCAAGTTCCACTTGAGAATGACACCTAGCTCTCCATGATAGAACCAAATGAAGGAGGGCATTGAGGCCTTGGACAGATAAGTTCATCACAAAAAGGGAAAGAAAATCAAACTAACCAATGGTCTACACTGCCAAATGGCCTCAGACTATGCGATAGGCATGATATGCCATGTTTCATCAAAGGCTAATGCAGCAGGCTCCATCCAACATTGGAAGTGGAGCATGCCCCGGGGATGATCGGTAGAAGAACATGACTGCGATTATGCCAGCAGTGACAACTGACAACTAGATGGAAAGGAGGACGGGGAAGAAATGCAAACAATGGGCCAGTCATCAGTTTGGCTACTTCATCTCATCAAATACTTCGGCATGCCTAAGCACCGAGAATATGGACTGTGGAGATGGCAAAACAGCACAAGTAATTTGAGGAGCTACAAGCCTACAACCTTGCAGCTGCATAGGTTGATCCCACCAAGCTGAGAACCATTTCAGCTCATTAATGCATCAATCCACAAGTCTCATCAACATCGGAGCAAAAGCAAATCAAGCAACAAGACAGTTAATCTTGAAAATGGCCTAAAATAAATTGATACAACCGTAACAGTATCAGTATGTGTAGTACATACAGTTTTTATGGTTATTAATTCATCAAAGCTCAACAAAAACAGTGGATAATAGTTGTTAGCACCAAGAAACAAGACGAGCAACTTTAACAGTAGAATTTGAATTAGAACTATGCAAGTAGTAGCGATAATATACATGAGGCAGGGATGAGTGGTGTTTATTCAAAGAAATATACTCCATCCAGAAAAATCTTTTTTTACAACAAGGTAGTAAACCTCAGCACCCTGAATGTTTTAAAATTTGTACACTCAAAAAGAGGTCCGCAAGTCAATTCCAATTGACACACAGAAATGTTTGCTTTGCAAGAGATCCTCAAGTCAGATCCAATGGACACACAGAAATGCTTTCTTTGCAAAATAGCCCTCAGATTGACAAGTTTGTTTGATTTCCATCAGAAGCTAATGCAGTGGGCTTCAACGCTGGCACCAGAGCACATTCCAAGGGCTCGAAGAAGAAGAAGAAGAAGACGGCTTCCAAGCTAGCTAGCTGTGCTTCCTTGCCAGCACAAGGAGAAAGAGAGATCAATCCAAGTCCAGATGGATTTGCACTTGCAGTGCCAGTAGAGGGAGGAGGAGAAGAGGAGGAAGAGGAGGCGCTAAGTCTGCCACAAGGGCAGTCCCACTTGTCAGTAGAGTGAGTGAGCAACCGGCCCGAGCCCCGAGCATGCTTCGACACCCAGAAGACGGAGGAGCCGACACTGCATTAGCCATTCAAGGGAGCTCCGACCTTGCAAACGCAAAGGAGTGACCCCATGGAGTTCAAATCCGAGCCAATCTATCTATCCATCCATCCATTCAACAGGTCAGAGGGTCATCGCTATCATCATCGGGCAAATGCAAAATCCAAACATCTGCCGCAAAAAATCAGTAACAGGAAAGCAGAAAAAAAAACTCATCTACACATGATCTCGATCGATGTTTCAAAACCATGGCAAAACTAAAACTAGCCAGACGCAGAGGGAGAGAGACAAATCAACCGTGATCTCTCTCTCAAAAAAAAAAAATCAAACATAGGAAGCGAGATCGGGAAAACCTCCTGAGTGGAGGGATGCAAGCGGGCATGTCCGCAAACCATAGGCTTACTTTTTTTGCGGGCTCTGTGGCTAAAGAACACCGAGAAGCCCCACCACTGCAATAGCCATTTCAGGAGGTCCGACCTTGCAAAAACATATAGGGTCACCCCATGGAGCTCAAATCCAAGCTGATCTATTTATCCATCCATTCATTAGGTGATGGGTTCACCGTAATCGTGATCGGGCTAGCACAAAACCCAGGAAGAGGCAGGAGAGCAAGATGGGGACACTGCACGGCTGTGACCATCTGTCAGTAAGTGTATCTCTCTCTGCCTCTAACCAGGCTTCAGTATGAACACAACAGAGAAACCAGCAATGCACTGCACACTTTAGGAACTACAGCTTGTAACAATTACCCCACTTGGACCTCATACAGAACACATATTACAACGAGATGCCCTTATGATATGAGCACCATCAGGCTTAAAGCTGCTGTGTTTCCTCAGCTGAATTATGAAACACAAATACTACCAAAGAAACAAAACAGGTATATCAAGAAACAAAAGGTACTATAATACCATATGAATTTCTGGGCAAACCCATTCCTCATATATGGAATAAAAGGGAGTAAAAAACCAATATCAATCTAAAATAATGGTAGGAATGCAGGAGAACCCCACATCAAACTAACAGAGGCAAACCTGGCAGATGAAACTTCAAATATGTTTATATAAAGAAGAAATCCGAAATGGGTATATATGAGTAAGATAAGTAAAAAGCTTGCCCTCAGGTCTCAAAGAAACAGCATTCATTGATGGCACAAGATGCCTCCAGACAGCCATTTAATGACAATATGCAGTCACTGTTGCAGAAGCTGATAAGTAGTTCAAGCGAACAGGGCCAACACACTCCCTCTGAACACACAGAGAGACAGACAGGCAGACAGAGGCAGTGAGAGAGAGAGAGAGAGAGAGCGAGGAGGAAGAGGAGGAGGAGTTGGAGGAGGAGGATGGGAGGAAATCATATGCCATCTTTGCATATTCGGTTTTCATCATTGGGCAGCACATTTTTTTAGAAACTATAAAAGGTAATGCTGCCATTCTTTGTCTAAAAGATGGGCAGTCACTATATCTTCAAGCTAGGAACTTGGTGCAGCAACAACTTCACAAATGGGGTGCGAAAATGGAGTGCAGTATGATTACATTAAGTTAAAATAAATAAAAAAGAAAGGTGACAAGAGAGGTGAAACCACAAACATATATATTTTTTTAAAAAGATCACAAAATGCCTGCAATTCACATCTTACAACAGAAAACCAAGTTCCACTTGAGAATGACACCTAGCTCTCCATGATAGAGAACAAATGAAGGAGGGCATTGAGGCCTTGGACAGATAAGTTCATCACAAAAGGGAAAGAAAATCAAACTAACCAATGGTCTACACTGCCAAATGGCCTCAGACTATGCGATAGGCATGATATGCCATGTTTCATCAAAGGCTAATGCAGCAGGCTCCATCCAACATTGGAAGTGGAGCATGCCCCGGGGATGATCGGTAGAAGAACATGACTGCGATTATGCCAGCAGTGACAACTGACAACTAGATGGAAAGGAGGACGGGAAGAAATGCAAACAATGGGCCAGTCATCAGTTTGGCTACTTCATCTCATCAAATACTTGGCATGCCTAAGCACCGAGAATATGGACTGTGGAGATGGCAAAACAGCACAAGTAATTTGAGGAGCTACAAGCCTACAACCTTGCAGCTGCATAGGTTGATCCCACCAAGCTGAGAACCATTTCAGCTCATTAATGCATCAATCCACAAGTCTCATCAACATCGGAGCAAAAGCAAATCAAGCAACAAGACAGTTAATCTTGAAAATGGCCTAAAATAAATTGATACAACCGTAACAGTATCAAGTATGTGTGTAGTACATACAGTTTTTATGGTTATTAATTCATCAAAGCTCAACAAAAACAGTGGATAATAGTTGTTAGCACCAAGAAACAAGACGAGCAACTTTAACAGTAGAATTTGAATTAGAACTATGCAAGTAGTAGCGATAATATACATGAGGCAGGGATGAGTGGTGTTTATTCAAAGAAATATACTCCATCCAGAAAAATCTTTTTTTACAACAAGGTAGTAAACCTCAGCACCCTGAATGTTTTAAAATTTGTACACTCAAAAAGAGGTCCATGCAAGTCAATTCCAATTGACACACAGAAATGTTTGCTTTGCAAGAGATCCTCAAGTCAGATCCAATGGACACACAGAAATGCTTTCTTTGCAAAATAGCCCTCAGATTGACAAGTTTGTTTGATTTCCATCAGAAGCTAATGCAGTGGGCTTCAACGCTGGCACCAGAGCACATTCCAAGGGCTCGAAGAAGAAGAAGAAGAAGACGGCTTCCAAGCTAGCTAGCTGTGCTTCCTTGCCAGCACAAGGAGAAAGAGAGATCAATCCAAGTCCAGATGGATTTGCACTTGCAGTGCCAGTAGAGGGGAGGAGGGAGAAGAGGAGGAAGAGGAGGCGCTAAGTCTGCCACAAGGGCAGTCCCACTTGTCAGTAGAGTGAGTGAGCAACCGGCCCGAGCCCCGAGCATGCTTCGACACCCAGAAGACGGAGGAGCCGACACTGCATTAGCCATTCAAGGGAGCTCCGACCTTGCAAACGCAAAGGAGTGACCCCATGGAGTTCAAATCCGAGCCAATCTATCTATCCATCCATCCATTCAACAGGTCAGAGGGTCATCGCTATCATCATCGGGCAAATGCAAAATCCAAACATCTGCCGCAAAAATCAGTAACAGGAAAGCAGAAAAAAAAACTCATCTACACCGCGATCTCGATCGATGTTTCAAAACCATGGCAAAACTAAAACTAGCCAGACGCAGAGGGAGAGAGACAAATCAACCGTGATCTCTCTCTCAAAAAAAAATCAAACATAGGAAGCGAGATCGGAAAACCTCCTGAGTGGAGGGATGCAAGCGGGCATGTCCGCAAACCATAGGCTTACTTTTTGCGGGCTCTGTGGCGCAAAGAACACCGAGAAGCCCCACCACTGCAATAGCCATTTCAGGAGGTCCGACCTTGCAAAAACATATAGGGTCACCCCATGGAGCTCAAATCCAAGCTGATCTATTTATCCATCCATTCATTAGGTGATGGGTTCACCGTAATCGTGATCGGGCTAGCACAAAACCCAGGAAGAGGCAGGAGAGCAAGATGGGGACACTGCACGGCTGTGACCATCTGTCAGTAAGTGTATCTCTCTCTGCCTCTAACCAGGCTTCAGTATGAACACAACAGAGAAACCAGCAATGCACTGCACACTTTAGGAACTACAGCTTGTAACAATTACCCCACTTGGACCTCATACAGAACACATATTACAACGAGATGCCCTTATGATATGAGCACCATCAGGCTTAAAGCTGCTGTGTTTCCTCAGCTGAATTATGAAACACAAATACTACCAAAGAAACAAAACAGGTATATCAAGAAACAAAAGGTACTATAATACCATATGAATTTCTGGGCAAACCCATTCCTCATATATGGAATAAAAGGGAGTAAAAAACCAATATCAATCTAAAATAATGGTAGGAATGCAGGAGAACCCCACATCAAACTAACAGAGGCAAACCTGGCAGATGAAACTTCAAATATGTTTATATAAAGAAGAAATCCGAAATGGGTATATATGAGTAAGATAAGTAAAAAGCTTGCCCTCAGGTCTCAAAGAAACAGCATTCATTGATGGCACAAGATGCCTCCAGACAGCCATTTAATGACAATATGCAGTCACTGTTGCAGAAGCTGATAAGTAGTTCAAGCGAACAGGGCCAACACACTCCCTCTGAACACACAGAGAGACAGACAGGCAGACAGAGGCAGTGAGAGAGAGAGAGAGAGAGAGCGAGGAGGAAGAGGAGGAGGAGTTGGAGGAGGAGGATGGGAGGAAATCATATGCCATCTTTGCATATTCGGTTTTCATCATTGGGCAGCACATTTTTTTTAGAAACTATAAAAGGTAATGCTGCCATTCTTTGTCTAAAAGATGGGCAGTCACTATATCTTCAAGCTAGGAACTTGGTGCAGCAACAACTTCACAAATGGGGGTGCGAAAATGGAGTGCAGTATGATTACATTAAGTTAAAAATAAAATAAAAAGAAAGGTGACAAGAGAGGTGAAACCACAAACATATATATTTTTTTTAAAAAGATCACAAAATGCCTGCAATTCACATCTTACAACAGAAAACCAAGTTCCACTTGAGAATGACACCTAGCTCTCCATGATAGAACCAAATGAAGGAGGGCATTGAGGCCTTGGACAGATAAGTTCATCACAAAAGGAAAGAAAATCAAACTAACCAATGGTCTACACTGCCAAATGGCCTCAGACTATGCGATAGGCATGATATGCCATGTTTCATCAGCTAATGCAGCAGGCTCCATCCAACATTGGAAGTGGAGCATGCCCGGGATGATCGGTAGAAGAACATGACTGCGATTATGCCAGCAGTGACAACTGACAACTAGATGGAAAGGAGGACGGGAAGAAATGCAAACAATGGGCCAGTCATCAGTTTGGCTACTTCATCTCATCAAATACTT